TTGGCAGATAGAAATGCTACTGATTTTTGTATGCTGATTTTGTATTCTGCAATTTTACTGAATTTGTTTATCAGTTCTAATAGTTTTTTTGTGGAGCCTTTAGGTTTTTCCAAATAGAGGATCATATCATCTGCAAACAAGGATAATTTGACTTCTTCCTTTCCAATTTGGATGCCCTTTTTTTTTCCTTCTCTTGTCTAATTGCTCTAGCTAGGACTTCTGGTACTATGTCGAATAACAGTGATGAAAGTGGGCATCTTTATCATGTTCCAGATCTTAGAGGAAGACTTGCAGTTATTCCCCATTTAATACGATACTAGCTGTGGGTCTGTCATTTATTATGTTGAGATATGTTCCTGCTATACCTAGTTTTTTGAGGGCTTTTATTATGAAGGGATGTTGAATTCCATCAAATGCATTTTCAGCATCAATTGAGATGATCATATGGTTTTTCTTCTTCATTCTGTTGATATGATATATCACACGGATTGATTTGAGGTGCCAGCTCAGTTGCAATAGACTAGAGCACCAGGTAGATTGCTAAGGCCTTGGCTCCTGGACAGCATCTCTGTTCCTGCCTGGGGCCTGGAAGAACTCGTCACCCCAAAGGGAAGAACAAACACCTCCCTCCTCCCTAAACTCCTGGCAACTACTATCTTTGTACTGTCTTCACAGTTTCATTTCTCCAGACTGTCATATAGTTGGAATCATATAGTATGTGGCCTTTTCAGAGGGGCTTCTTTCACTTAGCTACACACATTTCAGGTTCTTCCATGTCTTTCTGTGGTCTGATTTCTTTTTATTGCTGAATCATATTTCTTTTCTTTTTTCCTTGTCTTCTTTTTTTTTGTTTTTTTTTTGAGACAAAATTTCACTGTGTCTCCCAGGCTGCAGTGCAGTGGCTCCATCTCAGCTCACTGTAACCTCTGCCTCATGTGTTCAGGCAATTCTCCCACCTCAGCCTCCCAAGTAGCTGGAACTGCAGGTGCATGCCACCGTTCCTGGCTAATTTTTGTATTTTTGGTAGAGATGGGGTTTCACCATGTCGGCCAGGCTGGTCTGGAATTCCTGACCTCAAGTGATCTGCCCTCCTCAGCCTCTCATAGTGCTATAATTACAGGTGTGAGTGATCATGCCCTGCCATATTTCATTGTATGAGTGTATCACAGTTCATTTATCCATTCACTTGTTGAAGAACATCTTGGTTGATTACAAGATTTGGCTATTATGAGTAAAGCTGCTATAAACATCTGTGCAGAAGTTTTTGTGTGGCTATCTGTTTTTAACTTATTTGGGGTTAATACCGAAGAGCATGATTGCTGTAACACATGGTAAGAATATGTTTAGCTTTGCAAGAAACCGCCAATTTATCTTCCAAAGTAGCTGTGCCATTTTGCATTCCCACCATCAATGAATGACAGTTCCTGTTGAGTCACCTACTTGTCAGCATTTGGTGTTGTCAGTTTTGGACTTTAGCCATTCTAATAGGTGGGTAGTGGTACATCATTATTGTTTCAATTTGAAATGGCTACTGACATGTGATATGGAGCATCTTTCCTTATATTTATTTGTTATGTGTATATTTTCTTTGG